ACTCTCTTATGCTTTCACCTTGACAGGATCCCAAATATTTTTGACTCGATGGTATTGCAACTTATTGAACTATCTTATCTCTGTTGAAAGAATCAAGCAATTCATTCACCTACCGGCGGAGCCTCCTTCCATTGTGAAGGACAACCGACCTCCATCTTCATGGCCTTCTAAAGGCAGGATTGACCTTCAAGCCTTGGAGGTAAAGTTTTATACTTGTCTTACAATATTTTTTCTTTATTTTATTACTGTCAATTTGTGTCTTATGGACATTTTTTTCTACATTGATTTCAGATTAGATATCGTCCTAATGCACCATTAGTGCTTAAGGGTATCACTTGTACGTTTAAGGAAGGGAGTAGAGTGGGAGTTGTAGGAAGAACTGGAAGTGGAAAAAGTACACTTATAAGTGCTTTGTTTCGCTTAGTTGAGCCAGCAAATGGTGATATTGTTATAGATGGAATTAACATATGCTCAATGGGGTTGAAGGATTTGAGAATGAAACTAAGCATCATCCCTCAAGAACCAACTCTTTTCAAGGGCAGCATTAGAACCAACTTGGACCCTCTAGGCCTTTACTCAGATGATGATATATGGAAGGTGAATGAACTAGCTCTTCAGTTGAAAAATATGTTACATTCTGCATAAGCTTATCAATAAACACAGGTCTGATTATGTTTAATTTGTATTTAGGCTCTAGAGAAATGTCAGCTTAAGGAAACTATCAGCCGTCTACCAAATCTCTTGGACTCTTCCGGTGAGTAAACTTCACATATTTGATGCTACAAATCTGATATGAGTAACTTCTAGTCAATTCTCTTAGCAGCCTTTGGTAACAATCTATTGTAGTATTAGTCTTCTAAGAGGTTTAACATTTAGGGGGAATACAAAATCATATTTGAACTAAATTTCCAAATTAAGAATTTGGAACAAACAGCTATTGAAGTCTAATTCTGACTTGTTATACAGTGAGTGATGAAGGAGGAAATTGGAGCTTGGGACAGCGCCAACTGTTTTGTCTTGGGAGAATACTACTCAAGAGGAACAAAATTCTTGTTCTGGATGAAGCTACCGCCTCCGTTGACTCTGCCACAGATGTCATTCTACAACGAATAATTAGACAAGAATTTGCAGAATGCACAGTGATAACCGTGGCTCACAGGGATCCAACTGTAATAGATAGTGACATGGTCATGGTCCTGTCCTATGGTATGCTCATGACTTGTTCTTTCTATTTTGTTATTCTCCTTTTGGGATATATTAGTTCTCTTCTCTAATTCACTCAGTTAATTACCTCATTTTTGGTGGTTACTAAAGGGAAACTGGTGGAATATGATGAGCCTTCAAAGCTAATGAAGACCAATTCTTCATTCTCTAAGCTGGTAGCTGAATATTGGTCCAGCTGCAGGAAGAATTCCTCCTCAGATATTAGTAGGCTGCAACATTGAATTATAACACTATGGAAAAGGGAGATCACTAAGGGGAGAACAAATTAATAGAAGAAAATTCGAATAGATTCAAATTTTAGAAGTGTGTGTATACTTTCATTTAGTTGGTGGCGTTCGTACACATAACTCTATTGATTAAGCCTACAAAGAAACTGTCTACCCGAGTCATGACTTCATGTAAAGTTTTTATTAAATTATCCAACTCGCAATTAATAGTATTTTGTGTTCTTTGAAATATTTTAACCTTAGTTAACAATATATTGTGCTCATATAGGCTAGGTTTACCTTTAATTAGCAAAATTTTTTTAATGGAACATGTTGGTATGTCAGTGTGAATGAGAAATTTTACATTAGATATATGTTGAAGAACATATATGTGACAATGACTCATAAATAACAATAACTCAACTTGATCTGGAGGATGTTTCTTTCAAGATATAATATTGTATTTTCATATTCTCATAAATAATAAAATTAGGAATGTTATTTAACAAACATGGGAATATTTTTTATAACCTTCTAACAAACACGGGGTGATAAATATTTCAACTTTCATATTCTCAAAATATAGAAAAAGATTACTTGAAACAAAATTAAGAAAATTATCGGAAGAAGAAACTTTAAATCCAACTGCCTTTGGTTACCAAAATTATCACTTGCTTGTCTTTGAACTCTTAGTTTGAATCACTGGTGTTTATTCTAGACTAGACTGGTTGAATAATGCGCTGTAATTGGTGATGGATTATTATAGTATATGAGTAGTATAGTAATAAGGGGACATGATTCTGGAGTACAGGGCACGTATCCTGCATGCATTGATGCAGTTTTCAGCATAGATGCATTATAAAATAAACTCGTGACACTAAAACCAATGAAATCTATAGAATTCACAACTCACAAAATTTCAAACCCTGATGCATAATTTGACTGGCATCTTTATCCTCAAGAGTTCAACCCGTACATTAAGCCGCGAATTATTTTACTATATATGTATCCATTGACCAACTTTAAGCTAAAAAATCTCTCATTTAAATTTTAAAAAGTAGTTAATTTTATAGAAAACACAACATGAATAACAACAGTATTTGACTGAGAACAAATATTATAATAGGTTGAGATTATAATATGCAACTTTATGCACAAAAGGGAGAAAACTGATGAGTTATGAACTCTTTTTTATACATATTAAAAGTATTTATAACAAATGCTTAAATATTAAAATTGACTAACTTTTAATTGGTAAAGTAAACAGTAAAATATGATTAAATTAACTAACAAACATGGTTTATTTGCACAATTTACTTCTTTTTAAAAACATAAACAACTTTTAACTAAACTTACGAGCAAAACAAAAAAACTGTAAAGGCTTTAAAATATTTAATTATGACGGTGAAAAAATCTTAACTACCAACACTCCTCCTTCATCAATTCAAGCTTCGAGTTTTATTATTCTTTGCACTTTTTTGTTGGATCTCTTTCAAGTAGATAAGCATCAACAAATTTAACATCTCTAAGTTTAACATTCATTTTCTCACTTGAAATAAGAATCCTTGCAATTTTCTTAATCCATTTTTCATCTTGAAAAACCTTTTTCATAAGAATTGTAGTAACATTATCAACATTATGCTTTTTTTACAAAACTTACTGTTGAATTGATAAGAAGAAGTATAATAATTTTAACTAAATTTTGACAATTAAAAAATTTATCTCCTCCATTGGCAAAAGCCATAATCATGATTGTTACAACTTTCATGACCCATTAAAAAAGGATGCTCCATAAATTCCAAAAGCTTTAAAACCTTATTTTCCTTATTCTTTTTAAGTTTGGTGTGCCCAAAAGTCACATTCTCTTGAGTAGTTTCAACTGTGAGCCCATTTGAATCACATTTTAGCATCTAAAATACCTTCTCAAGTGACCTATTTTTCAAATCCTCATCTTTTTTTAAAAATCATTTGTGGCTTTTTTTTTTCTTCCACTCTCTTGGAAAACTTTTGTCTCACACTCAAAAGGATAAAAAAATGGTGTATCTCATATTTTTAAAACACAAAAAACAATTCTTTTCAAGCATTTGTCTCACATTCAAAAGGTTTTGATATATTTTAGGCAGAAATAAAACATCTAAAATATGTTTGATACTTGAAAGAGTTTCAACAACTTTTACCTTTAACGTCAACATTTTCTCCATTATGACTTTGGATATGTTGGACTAATTTAATTTCTTAGAAATTGCAGCATCATAAGTTATATGATTTGTTCATCCATTATCTATGAGTTATGTTTCTTTGTGTTTGCTTGTTGAATATCGTGTAATAGAAAATAAATGTTTCTCATATTGTTCTTCATGCTTTGCAATTTGGGCTTGATGTTCTTGTGGGTTTATTTTATTTTTACAAACCTTCTCCATATGACCAAACTGATTGCAACCCCTATATTTAATGATTGGCCTAAACCAACAAAAATTTTAAGTATGGTTGTTCTTCTTGCAATGGTGGCATGGTAGAAACTTGTTTTTCCAACCTTTTTCTTTGCTAGCTTGTTGCCTTCTTGTTTTTTTTCCTCCTATGTACACCACATAAGTACTTTTAGTATTTTCTTCGATCCTTAAAGATCTTCTTTGTTCAATGGCTTGTAACGCATTCACAAGCTCTATAATTAATATTTTAGAAAAAAATTTATTCTCTTCAAGAGAGGAGATTTTAGATTCAAACCTCTACAGATAAAGAATTACTATTAGAAGCCATTTTTGTGTTTAAAAGTTTTTTTTGTATGAACTTTCTTGCTACTTTTTTTTTGTTTTTTTTCTTCTCACAAACCCTTAAAGATCAATGAAACTCTTGATACCATGTAAAAAATACATGAAAAACAGGGTTGTATGACTAAGAACAAATATAATAGGTTGAGATTATACTTTGCAACTTCACACACAAAAGGTAGTAAAATTTGATATGATATATTTGAATTATGAATTCAATTTGCACACATTGAAAATGTTTATAAAAAGTGCTTAAATATTAAAATTAACTAATCCCGATTGGATAAAGTAAATAATAAAATATAACTAAACAAACAAGTAAATATCACTTATCAATATAACTTCCTTTTTTTAATATAAGTAATTTATAACCAAATTTACAAACAAAATAAAAAAACTACAAAGACTTTAAAAATATTTAATTATAATAATAGAAAAATCTCAACCGTTAACAATTTTTAATGTACTAGGGCAAATAATATTTTTCTGTCATGAATATAAATGCTTTTACATTATTAAAGCTGAATTAACAGTGTACCAATACAGTGTGACATGGATGACAAATAAATGACCCCTTAACATGTGAGCATGAATTTAGTACCTTTTGGTGCAAAAAAAAATGACAAAAAAAGGGAGTAACAAACATAAAGAAAAAATAGGACAAAAAAAGTGTAACAAAATGCGGAGAATGATGAGAGTAGCTTTTGCCATACACGTGATGATAGATTGTTGAATAACATTAATAAATGGTTCCCAAACATAAATTATTTATTCATTTGGGTTATCCAATTTCACCTCTTTAACTAAACTACGTTCATCGTACGTTATCCATTACTGCTACTGTACATTACGTACACTCGTTGGCTGTTCTTAGATATTTTTCTCTCCTTCAGTCCTTCCTCGATTTTGCATTTATGTTTTTTAGTAGTTTGTTTCTTGTTCTATTTTTTGCTTCTTCAGCTATCTAGTTTCTTCAAAACTTAAGTTCTTTCATAGTTTCATTGAACCACTCATTGCTGTGCATGTAACTAGCCACTCTCTGAAGTCTGGACTGCACAAATGGCATGTTTGGGAAGAACAACAGGTATAGTATATTTCTTGCTCTTCCTCTTGTAGTTCACATATATTTGATTCCCTTCCTCTTGTAGTTGTAGATGTGTGTGCATGGTGTTTTACTTCTTGCTCTTCTTCAACACAACCTCGTCTTCAGATGCAACTTTTGAAACAAACTCTTTTGCCATAGTACTTGTAAGACATGCCTTGGGACATAGGGGTCCTCCTAGTGTTCTTAGGATTGATTCCGTTCATTACTAAAATAATGTTTGATCAAAGGAACTCAAGTCACCCGAAGTAGATTAGTACTTGATTATCGATTTTAGCACAATGCGTGAACCATTTCTATGAAGAAAAAAAATGCAATTTTTGAGAAATGGGATAGTGCTCCTGTACAAAACATGTCTTATTTAAGTTTTCAAACTTTGAATGTAAAGATAATGAACTCTCGTTTCTCTCTTACTGATTTTGCAGATAACTTCTCACGCATTTGCCTTGGAGATTTCAGTTTGACTTCCTTTTCCACCCAAAGGTGCATTATAGACATTGTCAACATTTTTTTTCTGGGTGTCTTTTATGCATCCTTGCTCACCAATCTGATCAAGAAAAGCCCTGTAAGTAGTAGCTACAGAAAGGGATGGATTCATGTAGTTGCTTCAATTTGTTGTACTCTTTTAGGCATTGCATATTTTATTGTTGGTTTGTGGAATCTCTTAGCCAAAAAAACTATTGGCTTCAATCAGCTGAACTTGTTGGTTTGCATTGTGAGAGGACTAGTTTGGATTTCTTTAGCAGGTTCATTATTTGTTCAAAGATCCCAATGGATTAAAATTTTATGCTCTATTTGGTGGGTGTCTTCATGTATATTGGTTTCGGCACTCAATGTTGAAATTCTGCTCAAAGATCATACATTTCAAGTTTTTGATATCGCAATATGGCCAGTCCACATTCTAACTGCTCTCTGTGTATTCCAAAACCATGGCTACTTTGTCCCACAAGAAACCCCAAATGCCAATTTATGTGAGCCCCTATTATTAGGTCATAAGGTCAACCATAAACAAACAGGACTAGGCCAGGCCTCCTTTCTGAGTAAATTCACTTTCTCTTGGATGAATGCTTTACTAAGTTTGGGTTACTCAAAGCCACTAGAACTTGAAGACATCCCTTCTCTTGTTTCTGAAGATAAAGCTGATTATGCCTACCAAAAGTTTGCACGTGCATGGGATTCCCTTTTGATGGAGAGGGGCAGGAACAATTCTAGAAACTTGGTTCTATGGTCCATAGCTCAAGTTTACTTGAAAGAAAACATCTTCATAGCCATTTGTGCATTTCTCAGGACAATTTGTGCTGTTGTTTCTCCTTTACTTGTCTATGCTTTTGTAAACTATTCCAGTCGCATTGAGGAAGAGTTAAAACAAGGTATGGCCATTGTAGGATGTCTTATATTTGCCAAGGTGGTTGAGTCTGTGTCTCAGAGGCATTGGTCTTTTAACTCAAGGAGGCTAGGAATGAAAATGAGATCTGCTTTAATGGCTGCAGTGTATCAAAAGCAACTAAAACTTTCAGCTTTGGGTAGGAGAAGGCATTCAACTGGTGAGATTGTGAATTACATTGCAGTTGATGCCTACAGAATGGGAGAGTTTCCGTGGTGGTTTCATACATTATTGTTTTCTGCACTGCAAGTTTTTCTGGCTGTTGGTGTCCTTTTACTAACAACTATCTACAGAAAAAATTTCGTAGGTAAATATTCTGTAAATAACTAAAAATTATCTACAGCAAAAATTTCGTAGGTAATATTTCGTAGATAATAACAGTTTTTCTTGTAGTGTCAACACTATTTAACAACACATTATAACAACACAGCAACTCATCAACTCACAACTTTCAACTCAGATAACATCTCTACACAACTTAACAACTCAGTTACAGCATGCATCTCAGATCTCACAACTCAATCATTTTCATAAACTTCAACAACACATCAACATACAACTCAACTACACATTCAACCACGTAAAAACTCAAACATCATATTAGCAACTCATATACAACACTAAACTAAACATACATTTCTACTACACATAACAAAACCATGCCCAGGGAAATTGTTATTTCGCTTGGCGCTAAGCCCAAACAGAAAGTATCAAGACTCTCTCACGCACGACGTGGGGAAAATCATGCCTGGCATAGGTCTAGATGAGACTCCCTAAGGGAATCTCTCCTGGCGTCGTGGTCTCATGCTCGACGTTAAGGCCTGGCAGAGACCACCCAAGGTAAATCACGCCAGGCGTGATTACCTAGCACTCGACACCATTCACCCAAAGACCCCCAGTCTCACTTCACGCCTAACGCAACCAACCTCATGCCTAGAGTGAATGTGAAATTTGAGCCTCTGATGAATGCTCGCCTGGCTTAGTGAAAATACGTTTGATACAAATTCAAAAATTGAACACCAAGCTCAAAAATTCAAGCTAGAACCTGTAATTCCAGGAGAATCCAACACATGCAAGCCAAAAACCCTACAATACTAACCACATACAACTCAAAAAAATGCAAGAAAAGTAACATGCAACCATTAATCATCATAATTCATCTCATTCTTCCCAACAACTCAAAAACCCAACCTTCAACTTCAACTCACTCAATTTTGATCAACATACAACCAGCAATTTAATGCAACAATACAACACTTCAATCAGATTTCAGCAATTCTAGTTTCCCTTACCTCGAAATTGGAAGAAAATTTGCACTTCGAGCTACCCAATGAAGAAGAAAAAGAAGAACGTCAACTGACTCCGTACGACTCCAACAACTGATTCAAACTTCTTCACTACCTAAATCACAAACAACACCACTCAGAATAGAAGCTAGGAAGAAGAAGAGAAGAAGATTGAGAGAAGAGAACTCACTGACCAGAGTCCCTCTCTCTAGAATCTCTCTCTAAAAACTCAAACCTCACATGAGTAGGACCAAAAAATGTAATGTGACTTGAACTAGTCATACATTGGCAAGTGCAAAAGATTGAAGAGCATGACTTTTAGAAAAATAAATACATGGAGACATTGAATACATGACACACTTGGTAAATAGTTAGTGAAAGTTTTTACACAATACAAGTTGAATCTACCATAGAACAATCAGCCATAAGCTCACATCCAACTTAATAATAAATAAACTTAGCACTATAACGAAATATTAAAATGCATATAGGGTAGACACCTTTGTTATAAGAAAGGATGATACAAGGTCCAAGTTTAAGGCCCTTATAAGGCACAAGGTCTATGCCTTTCATGCTCGAGACTAGTGAGTAAGTGTACCCTCCCAATGTTTTGTCGAGAAGGTCTATATGAGTGAGTGTACCGGCCTAGTCTCTAGGCCTTTTATGTTGGAGGTTAGTGGACAAGTGTACCCTCCCGATCTTTTTTCAAGAAGGTCTAATCGAGTGCCTAGTTGAGAACATCACCACTCATACCCCTACTTATAAAATATGTCGACATTTATCCAACTCAATATATATATATATATATATATATATCATGAGTTATAATACCAAAAAGAATTTTTTTATTCTAGTAAAAATGATTGGACTATTCAATTTTTATATAATGAAAAGTTTTTATTCTTATACGATAAATTACTT